GAAAATCGTAACTATATCAATCGAAGCGAGACAACTCTACAGTAAGTCAAGCAATCTATTTCATTCAATTTCACTATCAACATAAACTGTTTGATTCCTTACCAGATCTATAGCATAGCACCTTTTATATTACCCTTGATCACACAACCAAGAACTCTAAAATGTTTTAAACAACTTTATTATATCATGTTTACTTGGTATATAAAAATTTTTTTTGTTAAAACAAATACCTGCCTATTTGATTATTTCTCTTCTTGTTGTTGTCTTTGTTGCATTTCATTTAGTAAAAATAGTAGAGGGTTAGTTTAATTTGTATTTTGTCACCGATAGAGATTGGCTAACCCACTACAAAAGTGAGGTAACAAAAAATATATTACCATAAAATCAAAATATAACACAGTTAACAAAAAAGACAGTTAAACTTGTTTATCAGTTCTTTCTTGTCAGAGTTAAGGTTGTTCCATACATTTTTTGTCCTTGGTCTTAGCTATGATGAGAGAGAACCATTTAGCTGCCTTTTTTATTAATCATGTATTCTGATATTACCATTTTATGGTAATATATTTTTTGTTATTATTTTTCTTCTTTTAACATATTCATTTTTATTACACTAATAAAGTAATATTAATTAAAAGCAGACCTGTTTTTTCTGATTTATCAATACCTTTTAAATATATTGATTGATTGATTTGTTTTTATAGGTTCTCGATCCCTTTGTGGATTATTTAAAACAAGACATATTTTGGATTCTAAAAATAATTCTTTGTTTGTGAGTGAATGCTGCATTAACACATTTTTTGAGAATAACCATGATTTTTCCAGAAACAAATCCTACTATTTAACTCATAGTTAGAGGAATGAGATGGATTCATAACTTTCTCAAGAGTATTTGCACATGAGTGAATATAACAAATCTAACTGGAATTTGAACTTGGCTCTCTGATTTCTCATTTTGAGCTCTTATCCATTACACCACTCACACATCTTTCAATGAGGATAAAAGAGTGGGCCATAAATATCTTACTACTATAGTAATAACCTAATAAAACTTTGTAACAATGAAAAGAAAGAAAATTAGTGGGATCATGTATTAATATTGCACTATGACTTGACCTTAAGTAAAGAACACCATCCCTACTATTTAACCCATAGCTAGGGGGTAGGATTGAGTCATACCTTTCTCAAGATTATTTGTGTGTAAGTGAATCTAACAAATTCAACTGGAATTTGAGCCCGTCTCTCCAAATTTCTCATTCTGAGTCACTATCCATTACACAATTCACATCCATTTTTAAATGTAACCAAGATTTTGTTTGAGGAAAAATCTTTACTAGGACTTTACTCCATAAAGGCTTAGAGTCAAATCACACTGAAAACATTGGTTCTCATTTGATCATCAGAGTTAAGCAGTGTCAAACCCAATTAGTACTTAGATGGGATACCACTGTTTCCAGCTTTAAATAAGCTACAAAGGATTGATAAGCTGTAAAAAACAAATAAATCAGTCAATTCTTCATAAATAGAAAATTTTCAAACCTAAAGTATTTTTCTATCAGCAATTCTGAAATATCTTCTTCCTTTTTACTTTTTAAAAATTAATAAATAAAAGACACCTTGCTATGAAATAGCGGTTAACAAGTTAGTCTCACACTGAGACTATTTCCAATAGAAAGAATTTGTTTCTTACTATTTGGCTTATACCTCTTATTACAAAGTCAACAGTATTTTTGCCAGAATACCATCAGGTACAATATTCTCAAACCCTCTCCTACATGATAGAGATAGGATTAATCTCTTATGCCTGAAGCATCCCTAAAGAGCAGTGCTGAGGAGGTTTGAATAATTTTTGTCTCATCTATACTTAGATCTCCCACTTCAAGCTTAGCCTTGTGACACATTCTGCTTGAGTGGATCTATGGATAAATATCTACTGGGCATCCCACAGTTGTGGTCTTGTGTCAAAGTAAGCTAAGCTTAGTAAATACTTAAAAAACAAATAAATTATTTTATCACAAGATTGAAAAAACTTAAACTTAATTCATAGTTCTTTAGCTCCTTTGAGCAAGATCCTTAGTTTCTCCTTGGAAATGGCCAGCATTGGTGCATTCACAAACATTACTAGGTAAAGAATTTCAATTCTCTATTACCCTTAGGTGGCTACCTCCAAAGATTTGCTAAAAACTGAGAAAACATGATGAAAAAATGGCCTAAGAAACATTAAATTGTTAAAATTTTTATGCTATTATTAAGAGGAAAAAACCAAAGGATTTTTTTGATTATTAAATTATTATTTTTTAATCCTTTTTGAATCTTCAAAATTTTGGTTAAATATTAACCAATCAATGGGTGATCATAAATTAATATGGGAAATTTAAGCACTTTTGTAGCACTTAGTGTCAATGAATACTAGACAATCTCCTCACAGATGAGGAAGATACTTGACAGAACAGGGTTTAGGAAAACAACAAATAGATAAAATATGTTAAGGCTTACAAAGGACAAGAAATTGTGGAGAGCTATGACCGCCAACATCCTGAATGGACACAATACATAGAAGAAGCTGCTTAAAAATGGTCAACCATTTAACTAGAATTAACAATTTTAAAATAGTTAAACAAGAAGTTTAATAAATCCTTGAACTTCATAGTCAACTACATAAAGTTAATTAGAAATAAAAAGTGAGTGCTGAAAGGTTCTCAGCTTAGTCAACTTTCCAAAATCTGATCAAATGACCAAATATCAGAATTTTTTTAAAAATTCCTTTTTGGTTAGGCCAAGTACTTTTTGGCATCCCCTCCTATAAATTCACTAAAACTGATATCATCATGGTTGCATAATATATCAGTTTTTGTTTGATTACCACAGTTAAGTTGCATTGAGCTTGGTCAGTACTTAAATGGAGGACCACTTTGAAACACCAGGTGTTATGACCTGATTATCAGAGACAGACATCTGTCTGGTCAATTTTCACAATCACAGTTATACAACTGACACTAACTCAGATGACTTCTAAAAAGACTGCCAAACTCTACAATAATAAAGAAGTTAGTCCACTTTTAATTGTAGAACTCTGTTGACTTAATTTTTTTTCATGGTCTTGACATCACTAGAACTCACAATACAATGACAATACTTCTATCTTTCAAGATTTTGGTGATCATTGCTCTCCACAATTTCCAGTTGTTTGTCACTCTTAGTAAACTAAACATCCCCACTACCACATCTTCTTCATCAGCTACATAACAAGAGGGTACAAATGCATTTTGCAACAATGTCTTGTTCTATTTTTTTAATCTTATAAAAACAAATAAATTGGACAACTCATTTGATAAGGGGGAAATTTAATGGGAAAACATGTGCTCCTACCCCCTGGAAAAAAGCAAACTAATTTTGCATCTCTCCCTCACCTTGAAAACCACCTGCTTTTGAATTGGTGAGAGATGTAAAATCTAAAAACATTTAATGTTGGGACATGCTTCCAACAGTGATGCAAACCAGAGACATTCCAGTGATGGGTAAACCAGAGACATTCCAACATTCTTCCAACAGTGATGCAAACCAGGACCTTCCAAGACATGTTCCAACAGTCTGTCATGCAAACCAGAGACATTCCAACAGTCATGTAATTCCACAGTGATGCCTTTTCTAGAGATTCAATGAGTTTTTTTCCAACAGTGATGGTTCTGTGATGCAAACCAGAGACATTAAGAGAGACATTCAGCATGTAATGGAATTTCCTTGAGTTTGAAAACCAGAGACCTGCCCAGAGACATTAAGAGAGACATTCCAACAGTGATGGGACATTTCAATCCCAAACCATTTCCAACAGTGAAAACCAGAGACATTTCAACCAAACCAGAGAGATTCTAACAGTGATGCAGAGACATTTTCATGAAAATTCAACAGTTGCAAACCAGAGACATTCCAACAGTGATGCAAACCAGAGACATTCCAACAGTGATGCAAACCAGAGACATTCCAACAGTGATGCAAACCAGAGACATTCCAACAGTGATGCAAACCAGAGACATTCCAACAGTGATGCAAACCAGAGACATTCCAACAGAGACATTCCAACAGATGCAAACCAGAGACATTCCAACAGTGATGCAAACCAGAGACATTCCAACAGTGAAACCAAGACCAGAGAGACATTCCAACAGTGATGCAAACCAGAGAAACATTCCAACAGTGATGCAAACCAGAGATTCTATTCCCAGAGACATTCCAACAGTGATGCAAACCAGAGACATTCTAACAGTGATGCAAACCAGAGACATTCCAACAGTGATGCAAACCAGAGACATTCTAACAGTGATGCAAACCAGAGACATTCAACAGTGATGCAAACCAGAGACATTCTAACAGTGATGCAAACCAGAGACATTCCAACAGATGCAAACCAGAGACATTTCAACAGATGCAAACCAGAGACATTCTAACAGTGATGCAAAACCAGAGACATTCCAACAGGATTGAGACATTCTAACAGTGATGCAAACCAGAGACATTCCAACAGTGATGCAAACCAGAGACATTTCAATGATCATGCAAACCAGAGACATTCCAACAGTGATGCAAACCAGAGACCTTCTCAAACCAGAGACATTCCAACAGTGATTTCCTTGGGGCAAACCAGAGACATTCCAAGTGAAAACCAGAGACATTCCAACAGAAAACCAGAGAAACAGTGATGCAAACCTTCCAACAGTGATGCAAAACCAGAGACATTTCAACAGAGCAAACCAAGACATTCCAACAGTGATCAAACCAGAAGATGCAAACCAGAGACATTTCCAACAGTCATGAAACCAGAGACATTCTAACAGTGATGCAAACCAGAGACATTCCAAGACCAAACCAGAGACATTCTAAACAAACCAGAATGGAACAGTGAGTTAAAGAGACATTTCAAACAGTGATTTCCAACAGTGATGGTCATTTAAAAAATTCTAAACAGACATATTGCAAACCAGAGACATTCCCAGCAGAATCCATTTCTAACAGTGATTTCCAACAGTAATGCAAACCAGAGACATTTCAACAGTCATGCAAACCAGAGACATTCTAACAGTGATGCAAACCAGAGACATTCCAACAGTGATGCAAACCAGAGACATTCTAACAGTGATGCAAACCAGAGACATTCCAACAGTGATGCAAACCAGAGACATTTCAACAGTCATGCAAACCAGAGACATTTCAACAGTGATGCAAACCAGAGACATTCCAACAGTGATGCAAACCAGAGACATTCCAACAGTGATGCAAACCAGAGACATTTCAACAGTCATGCAAACCAGAGACATTCTAACAGTGATGCAAACCAGAGACATTCCAACAGTGATGCAAACCAGAGACATTCTAACAGTGATGCAAACTGACATTCCAACAGTGATGCAAAAACCAGACATTTCAACAGTTGCAAACCAGAGACATTCCAACAGTGATGCAAACAGGACATTCCAACAGTGATGCAAAACCAGAGACAAACAGTCATGCAAACCAGAAGTGATGCAAACCAGAGACATTCCAACAGTGATGCAAACCAGAGACATTTTAACAGTGATGCAAACCAGTTTCTAATAAGGATGCAAACAGTTTTCCCACAACTGTGATGATTCTGGGAGTTGGGATAATAGGGATGTCATGAAAAAGAGAAAAAGGTTTTTTGGGAGCAATCTCCTAAAGATCATGGAATGTAGACATATTTCCTTTGTGTCTTTAACCCCCAAACATATTGAAGCAGCTTCCCAGTTGGGTATTATGGGGTGTAGTCAAGAGGGAAATCAATGCCCTCATAACACTATAAAATCTCTGAAGTATTGTTAAATAATAGTTTAGCAGACTATTTTTTTTTTTTTGGTAAGTAAAATTTTGACCTTAGGGCTTAAATAAAGGAAGTCTAAAATAATCATAGAATGTAGACCCTTTTGTGTTTGTTGGGTGACCCCATTGACTTTTTTTTTGATTCCAAACCAAAACAACTAGTAATCACTGTCTGCAAGAGAAAAATGCAGATTTATTATTGAGTGATCACTGTTGCCCCAAGACAACCCCCACCAAGGAGCTATACAACAGTATGCCATAATTAGTACAACACACAAAATAGAGACATCTGATTCATGTATGCCAATGTTTCAGATCTGGTATTGAAGCAGTCATCAATATTAATGGCAGATTCATTAAGCAGATATGTCAAATAGAGTCTCAAGATTATTTACGCCAATTTTTTCTCTGAAATAAAGCTCTTCTTTCATGACTTCTGCGTCTTTTACTAAATTAATGAAAATGTCCTCAAAGAACTGATCAACCCTATATATTCATACTGTAAATAATGTAAATGATTATTCTTCATCTAAGAATTTCAAAGAGAAGATCGAAATAATAAGTTTGGAAGTAGAGTAATTTGAATGGAAACAACCTCATAGACAAACATATGAAACCTATGCAGTTTAGGGAAATTAACATATAGGGAAATATGGAGAAAGGGAATTAACATATAGGGAAATATGGACTCACCCATGTTGCATGAGTTACTCGCAATAGAATCACTTTTGTAAGTATAAACAAATCTAAGTATATTTGTTAACTTTTTTTTCTGTTTTTTACTGTTTGGGGAAAAAAGATGTCTCTTTTTCCTTATGGATTCTACATATGGAGGAGGTTGTAGAATGAATTAGCTAAAATGTTGTGGTAATCACAACAGCAACAAAACAAGAATGATTTTAATAGCTTCACCATTTGAAATGATAATGTTTTCTTGCAAAATTATAGAATACAACTTGTTTTTTATTATTTTTTTTTCAAAAAAGAAAAGGTTATTGTAAAGAAAGACAAACATTTAAACTTGTAGTGAAGCTTTATTCAATGCAATTTGACTACTGATCATCAGTGATATTTGATTATTTTTTTTATTGCCAAATAGTTTGAGGAGACAACTATGGTTGCCTTCCACTACAGTCATGTTTTGCAAGACAGGTAAATAAAAAAAGGATTTCTTACACAAAACCACACTGAAGAAAATCAAAGTTAGATCAAGGATAGGTTTCAATGTGTTGATCTAAATGGAACTGAATAGAAGAAAAAAATTTTTTTGTTCTTGTTGGAATTAAAATATAATTCTTTTACAATTTGCAGAGATCTGAATAAACTATTACTGTACAATACCACAGTGAACAACTGACTTGTTTGAATGATATATTGAATGAGAAAAAAAATCTTTTCCTGGATAAGGAAAGTGACTGATAATTTTGCTACATGACAATGCTTATTCTTATGGTATAAATTGTTGCAAATGATTGTGGCACTGGGAATGGTAAGTTATTCCACATGCTGCATATTTTCCAGATCAGTGACCTTCAGATTATTGTTTATTTCGCTCCATACAACATTACTTGTTTAGTCAATGATCCCAAAAATATCTAAGACATCAAAAGTTTCTTTAAAGAAATTTGAAAAGCTGGAACTTTTCTTTTATAATTGTTGTAGAGTAGTTTCACAGTGAAGGCTTGTATTTTTACTAAGTTGGTCCTAAAATAGGTTCGACGTACAAAATGTTAGGAACTTGATATAACAGGTAATGATGCAGAGAAATCTAGTTGTCGTAGCTGATACTTTAATATCCAACTAACGGTTGTCCAACATCGACTGACTGACCAACTCACTGAGTGACTTAGCTACTACTCCTACTTATTATAGGTGGGAGAGTCTATTAACAATAGAAAAGGTGTGTTCCACTATAACAATAATGGAATACACAATTTTCCTGAAATATTGCCTGAGGTCTTAGAAAATCAAAGAAAATATTTTGATGTCTGAATAATGATGCTATGAAGATTTTGTCCAAAAATAGCTGAAGAAAAAAAGGAAACCTTTACATTAACTGCATATAAAAGTCTAAAGGATGGTGGACATGTATTTCAATAGCTTCTTCTTTACCATGATTAATTGTCTCAGTTAAATTTATGACAACTGTTTGTTGATGTAAAGTCTCTTTTTTTAGAGATGAGTTATGATTTCTTAAATGATTTCATAGACATGAGGAAGTCAGTTTTGTAAGAATCTTGTAGGTGTGTGGGCAAATATGAATTACTGGGCTACAGATTTTTTTTATTATCATTAATATATTTGTACCTTTCACCTTAATCCATTATTCTCTTTCAGACTTTACATTTAAATTATAATTTTACACATAACATATCTATTTGCTACAGACTGTTTACTTCTGTCTCACTTTCCTCATATTTAATTCTCTTCATTCCCCCACTACCCCCCCTCTCTCTCTCTCTCTATATATATATATATATATATATATATATATATATATATATATATATATATAGATGCTAAAAACCCATGCCGTCAAAATTGATGCCAAGAAGAAATGAATTATAAGTAATATGTATTAAATAATTTTTGTTTCATCCAAGTACAATTTTGTAATTTAAAATAGTTCATTGTTAATGTTAATAATTGAACAGTGTACAATTTATAAGAACCTAAGGAAAGATATCTGTATATTATTCTCATAAATGTTATATATTTACAACCAAAATTATGTTTACTGCAAAAGTTCCCAAAGCACAATAGTTTTTGTGTAAACTTTAGAAGGTTTGAGTAATCCTTGACAGTCCATAAATTCAATTGTAATCTCAGAGTTTGCTTATTTGTTATCTACTAAGAGCAATGTATCATCAGATATATATTTTAATTTATCTATTAGCTATTTAATTAATTTAGCTATTACCAAATTTCACAAGATATGTTCCAAATTATAACATACAATAATTAATGACAAAATAAATATATATACAGACTCAGTATTATGTAACCCACCTTTTTGCAAAAAATTATCATCGTATGATTTGTATTTGCAAAGATATTTTAAAATTAAAAATACATAATAATTGCATTAGAATCCATTTTTAGCCATGTAAACGTTTTGAAATTGTCTGAATTAAAAAGTATAAAGAATGGAAATAATTATTAATCTTGTTTGTGTTTATATTTTAATTATGCTGATAATTTGGAAATGATATATGTATTTTTAAATTTTCTATTCCTTTAAAATTAATTTCCGGACTTTTTGTGTAATTATTTTAACTTTTTATTATTCCTTTATTATTGCAGATTTTAAGAATGAAACTTGATATATTTTATTAAATATTTTAGTGGGCACAATAAATTAATTTAAATACAATACAGTTAAATTCATAAAACAAATATTCAACATGACTAATGTTGCCCGTAACTCATGTCTGTCTCTCATAATTTTTATTTAACTAAAGTTCTTTGTTTTCAAAAACAAATATAACTTGAATTTGGGCAGGTGGGTGATCATTATTTTGCACACTGTCCCTCAATTGTTACACACACAAAAAAAAATATATATATATATATATATATATATATATATATATATATATATATATGTGTGTGTGTAAATATATATATATTTCTTTTGTCATCAACAGTAATTGGCATAGATGGTAGTGTGGATATTGAAGAGCATTGCTTAACACTATGTACACACAGTATTGTATAAGATTGGCTGCTATTGAGTGTGTGTGGTGGGGTGCATATATGGCGCAGTAGATAAAAGTGTTATTTGATTGATCTAAAAGTGACTCAACCGAAAGAGTTGTGAGTTCAATACCTGGCCACAGCAGAGGGAACAAAAACTTGGAGAGTTGAGTTATCAAGGAAAATTAAGTGAAACTAAGATATCCAAAGTCATAGTACATGGAATTAGAACAATCCATGGACTAAATAAAGAAGTAGAAATATCACCTGAAGAAGGCTGGAGTGTACAACAGTTGAAATGCTGTGAATATGGCAATAAAGATGTGGACAACAGTCTGAACAATGTAAATAGTGTAAATACTTATAATGCCTTATCTCAGATATATATATATATATATATATATATATATATATATATATATATATATATATATATATATATTATATAATTGAATTAATATTAATGGTGTCTTAATTCTAATTGTATAAAATATTCTGCTCTGTTTAATGAAAATAATCATTAATCACTCTTTGTGAGTCAGTTTTAACATTTAATATTTAAATTCTACATTGGTTAATAGGACTCGCTTAGATTATGCCAATGAATTACTACCTATATATATATATATATATATATATATATATATATATATATATATATATATGATATTGGTTATTATGTGTAAGCACATTTGAGTGATAGCAACAAAACTTTTTAACACCAAAGCTGAACTTAAGGCAAAGATTATGGCATTCAGCAACTTAAAACAAAGAGACTGTCTGGAAGAGTTGCAGGACAGGAGATTCCAAAGTTGTCTGGAGGCCGTGGTTGAAGCCTATGGTGATTTTATTGAGTAAATTTACTGTTTAGTATTTCAAGATATTTTTGTGTAATTTTGGTAAATATATCTGTTAAAATGAGATGTCAGTGTTATTTTCATTTTTACGTAATTTAGGTGACAATTTACCCATCGCACGCGGTGTGTATGTATGTATGTATGTATGTGTGTGTGTGTGTGTGTGCATATATATA